CGTAACAATTTCAACACTTTGCTTAGAAATGGTATGGTAACAAACCAATACTTGGTAGATCAATATGCGAAAATTGAATCTGAGAGATTGGTCTATATCCGTAATAATCAAACTAAATTGAGAGCCGAAAATTACGTTCATCTTCTTGATGCTTTACAGGCGAATGAACACCGCAACGGCATTGGGCAGTTGGTTATACTACCTTCATCATTTACAGGTAGACCTCGATATTTAAAACCTAATTTATTTAAAAATTGGGCGGAAATCAAAGAAAATATTAACACCAATTTAACTCCACAAGACAGATACGATATAGTTAACAGAGTCTTCCATTTAATAGTACAGAAAAAATCCTGCACCTTATTAACAAGTCTCATATATTCAGTCCGTCGAGCTGTCATATGTACATAATAGAATGGCATAAACGTGGCTTCTCTATGTATGCGAGATTCAAAATGAAGTAAACAATTTCCGAAGTCGTTCCAAACTCAAACAAGTACTAGCGATGACGGATATCCCAAATATCGTCAACGATCGCCAGAACAGGGTAGACAAAATCCTAAAGTCCAAAACTATGATATTAATAACCGATGGATCGTTTCCTATAATCCGTCCTTATTGAGAATTTTTGATGCCCACATCAACGTAAAGTTGTGCAAAATCAATTCAATATGTTACTAAGTACATTAATAAAGGCAGTGATCGAACCACTTTCAGCATACAATCACCAAATGAATTGTAAAATATCAGTGTGGACATTACATCTACAGCTCTAAAGCTGTATGGAGGATTTTATCATTTGAAGTGCACGACCGGGATCCCACAATTGTCCACCTTGCAGTTCATTTAGAAAACGGACAAAGGGTATATTTCACTGAGAACAATATACAAGAAGTTGTTAAAAACCCGCGGGATACAACATTGACAGCATTCTTCAAGTTATGTGCTCAAGATGATTTCGCGAAAATACTGACATATGCCAGAGTTCCAAGTTAGTATACATGGAACCAGAGTTCTAAATCTTTTCAACGGCGAAAACAAGGTACTGAGGTTTATGGTTTCCCCGGAGTAAAAAAAACGGATGCTCTTGGCATCTTCGTGATTCATCCCAACATCAGCGAATGCTTTTATCTGATAATGTTACTGCATATTGTATAAGGCCCGACATCCTTCGCACACCTAAGAACTGTACACGGTGTTTTTTACAATACTTATAAAGCAGCATGCAAATCTATAGAGGAAGACAATTCTCACGGGGAAAATACATTACCAGAAGCAGCTGTTTGTAGCTCAGCTATATCATTAAGACATTTATTTGCCGTCATAGTAGAGTTTTGTCAAGTTACTGATTCTGTTAATCTATGAAATAAATTTCAAGAAAATATGGCCAGTAATAGTTTGGGACAATGGCCGATTTGCGCAATAAAAATTCACCTATGGGTGGATGTACAAGTCTGTTCTCGGGAGATTTCTGTCAAATCCTACCAGTTGTGACTCGAGGAACACCTGCTGACGAAATTAATGCTTTCCTAAACCTTTGGCCACATGTCAATAAATTAGAGCTTAAAACTAATATGAGGGTTTCGTCATCTTCATGTGAGAACAGACTATTTCCAGAGATGCTGCTAAAAGTTGGCAATGGAGAGTTAACACAAAGTGAGAAGAGGATTAACCTAGAAAACCTTTATGTTTAGATAGAAAACATCCAAGAGTTAGTCAAAAATGTCTATCCTGACATTGATAACATAAGTTATAAGACAATATCTTTCTTTAAAGTAAGGCGATTCCGTCACCAACTAACGAACAAGTAGATAAGATAAGGTGTAATGGCACGCTTTTGCTGGTAAAATCAGCGAAACCTTTCATAATACTCACAGGATGTGGTACCGGAGAAGATGTATTGATTCCCCGAATCCCTCTGATACCATCGGATTTACCCTTCCAATTTAAACGTTTACAGATTCAGGTAAAGACATCTTTTGCAATGCTTAAATTTGAAAGTTGACTGTTTTTCGTATGGCCAACTGTATGTCGCTCTTTCAAGAGAATCCTCTAGAGAAAACATGTTTGTAGTGTCTAATGACAAGAAAGCTGTGAACGTTGCATATAAAGACATTCTGGTATATATTAATTGTTGTAAAAATAAAATAATAAGGTAAAAATGTAAAAAATAAATAAGTAAAAATATAGGGTATGAATTTAGATATTCCAATGATAGCAGAAAATATTCATGGTATAGGGAAAGAGGAATAGTTTTACCCCAAATTTAACACGTGCGGACCACGGGCAGTAATGAATAAATCAAAGCTACTGGATTGATTTTAATCATTTTTTCAGTAATGGACATAGGTTATATATTTTATACCTGTGCGAAGCCGGCCGCTATGTTTATACTCTTGCAACCTGTTGCTACAGAGTATAATACTTTTGTTCACCTAACGGTTGTTTGTATCACCTAAAACTAATCGAGTTAGATATAGGGTTATATATAATATATATAAATGATCAGGATGAAGAGACGAGTTGAAATCCGAGTGACTGTCTGTCCGTCCGTCTATCCGTCCGTGCAAGCTGTAACTTGAGTAAAAATTGAGATGTCTTTCTGAAACTTGGTAGACATGTTTCTGGGTACCGTAAGACGGTTGGTATTGCAGATGGACGTAATCGGACCACTGCCACGCCCACAAAACGACATTAATCAAAAACAAATAAATTACCATAACTAAGCTCCGCAATAAGATATAAGACTGTTATTTGGTACGCAGGATCACATTAGGTAGGGGCATCTGTAGTTAAATTTTTTTTTAAAGTAGGCGTGGTCCCGCCTCTAATAGGTTTAATGGGCATATCTCCTAAACCGCTAATGCTATAATAACAAAATTCACTAGAAGCAATTGTTTTTAGCACTTCTATTGACAGATTGTGTGAAAACAGTTGAAATCAGTTGGCAACTCCGCCCACTCCCTATATAACGGTACTGTTAAAAACTACTAAAAGCGCGATAAATCAAGCACTAAACACGCCAGAGACACTAAATTTTATCTCTGGGATGGTATGAGATGACTTTATAGGAACCGCGTTCAAAATTAGACTGTGGTCGTGGCACCGCCCACTTTTAGGTGAAAACCCATATCTTGGGATCTGCTTAACCGATTTCAACCAAATTCGGTATAACGTTTGTATAACGTTCTTTTTATATTTCTATGTCATATAACACCATTTTCAATTCCATCTGATTCTTTCACTTTCCGCTATGCATATTAAGCAACAATGATTATATCGGGGTAAAACTTTGCGTGAATAATACGTTTAAAGTGTGCCACCTTGTGACCAAAAATTGTCTAAATCGAACCAAAACTGTTTAAGCCCCTAAGTACTAAAAATATATGGACCCCAGTGCCTATAGTTGACCTTCTACCGAAAATATCAGTCAGATTCCACAAAGAAATCGCAAACGAGTATACCATTTGACTTTGCGAGAGTATAAAATGTTCGGTTACATCCGAACTTAGCCCTTCCTTACTTTTTATATACGTTCACAGTTTTTCTGCAGTGTATTTAGTATCAGCATTGCACCCGTGCGAAGCCGGGGCGGGTCGCTAGTTAGCAACAAATCCTATATTTAAGAGAATTCAAAGAAAGATTTTGTAAATATTCTTTATTTCTTATACATTTTTACAGTATGTATTTGCTATTGTTAGCGAATAGTCGCAAGCAACAACAAAAACAGTTGGCTGATGAATGGTTTTTATATTTTTAAATGAAACGAAATGTTTTCTCTTGTTCATGAATGTTTTATAACGATGTTCATTGCACCCGAAAAACTAATAGTCTTCAAACTTTCACACATTAGTCGCCTTTTCCATATACAACTTACTCACCTAACGACAAGGTGCCTACGGCTGACTTTATATCGAAAATATGGATATAAAATATGGTATGATTATGGTAAAAAATCTTAATGAAATTAAGTGAATATATATTTATGATTATAATGTGCCAAATTGCTAAGGAGTAATACAATCTGTCCCATACTTCTGCCCAGCGTCTCTATACCCAGTATAGCGGTTTTCGACATTCCACTTGATTTTATAACATATCTACCATATATTTCAGTCAATATGTGTGATGTTTTAATGAAGTTTAGCTGAAATTTTTCCACGATCCCAACATATTTTTTTACGGTAAATCCTATACCTCAGGAACTTATTAAAATGGGCGAAGTCGACTTGCTAATACAAAAAATAGTTGCAAACAGACCATAGATTTTCAATTCTCCACATACAGAACATGTGGTTCCTAAAGCTGGGTTTTTTTTACCGAAAATGTCAGTAAAACTCTGAGGTATATTATTGAATATAAGGGAGAATATTTTCCTGATAATAGCGTTCGCCGAGTCAAAATAGGGTAAAATCACGTCAATATTAACATTATGCCAGGTATATGTGGCTACATATCCTAATCATTACTTGGATTACTTTCTTTAATATAAACATATCGGACAAGCAAAGGTAGTCATGGAACTAAGAAAGTAGTTAATAAGATACCAAATTCTCTTGTAAACCATTCGGATTCTTCAGATAATGCATGTTAAACTCTTATGCAACGTTTTTTAATATACAGTTTTGCAAGATCTGAAAGTATTTTTCGACTTTGAGCATTACAAATTATAAGTTTAATTTGTTTCTTTCATGTTTTTCGTTATTTTTTCCAGTTTTTATTTTTTTGCTTGATTCTCTAATATCTCTTTCATTCTTGTTTGTCGTTATTTTTTTAGTTTTTGTAGTATATTATATTTAAAAGGTAAGTATTAATATTAAATAGACATGTACGAGTATGCAAAGAAAATAATTTTAATCGCTTATGTTAGTATGAAGAATTCGTCTCTAACATATTGAACCAAGTCACCCGCAATAGTTGTGTACATTGCTAGTAAATAACTAATATTTATTTATTTTAAATATCTATTTACTAGTATATTTTAATTTTGAAATATTTAGAGGACGCTGAGATTTCCTCTAGGGCAGATGTCTGGGCGCTAGGGATAACTACAATTGAATTAGCTGATGGCCAACCACCTTTTGCCGATATGCATCCCACACGGGTTATGTTTCAAATAGTGCGTAACCCTCCGCCGACTTTATTACGGCCAACTAATTGGTCACAACAAATCAATGATTTTGTATCGGAGTGTTTGGAGAAAAATGTGGAGAATAGGCCAATGATGGTTGAAATGATTGAACATCCATTTCTGAACGAATTGTTCGACAATGATGAAGAAGTAAGCAAATTAATATTGCCGTCATATTAAAGTAATAAATTTATTCAATGCTTTACCACCTAGATGCAAGCAGATCTTCGCGAACTATTAGTTTTTTGTAGAGATGCTCCACCTATATACAAGGAACCTGAAATATTTGTTGACAGAGGTTATATAAAACGATTCGGAGGAAAACCGGAACGTATGCACCCAGAAGATTTGGCTGCAATTGAAAATCCAACAGACGAAATGATTTTAGAGTCACTACGAAACCGCATGGAGCTCGGTGGATCTTATAGTTTTATCGGTGACGTTTTATTATCATTAAATTCAAACGATTTGCTAACAGACTTTGATGAAGAGGTAAGAACTTATTATATGAAACTAGTATGTAATAAAAATATTAAACCATTTTCAGTTCCACAGTAAATATAAATTTAAATCGCGTTCGCAAAACTCTCCCCACATTTTTGCCGTTGCTGATATTGCTTATCAAGATATGATACACCACAAAGAACCACAACACGTTGTATTTTCAGGGGAGAGCTTTTCTGGTAAATCAACCAACGTACGTCTGCTCATAAATCATTTATGTTACCTCGGAGCTGGTAATCGAGGAGCTACCGTAAGAGTAGAAAATTCTATAGAAGCAATTCAAATGTTGGTCAACGCAGGTACACCTATTAACAATGAGTCCACACGTTGTGTGCTGCAGTACTTCCTAACCTTTGGTCAGACAGGGAAACTTAGTGGTGCTGTGTTTAATATGTATATGTTAGAGAAGCTTCGAGTTTCCACTACTGACATGTAAGATTATTTTTTAAACAAATGTTCAGCTATTAGAAATCAGCTTTTATTATGCTTTGTAGGAACCAACACAACTTTCATATCTTTTACTATTTCTACGATTTTATGAATAGTGAAAGTCTACTAAAAGAGTATCATTTAAAAAGTGAGCGTGGATATCGGTATCTGCGCATTCCAGCAGAAATGCAATCCACTAAATTGAAATACCATCGCGATGATCCTATTAACAATGTTGAACATTACAAACGCTTCGAGAGCATTTTGCAAGATCTTGATTTTAATCACAAACAACTAGAAACATTGCGCAAGGTAAATTCATGCATATGTAAACATATAGTAATAACAGTCTTTTCAACTTTTATCCAAAATGAATATAATTTCTATATTTGGGGACAAAAATGCAAAATAATGTAACATAATTTTTCATAAGTTTATAGGAAAAGGAAACAATGATATAGTAATCAATATACTCATAGTAAAAAAAAATTTAAATTTTTGGTCTTAATGAGCTATATCTGATAGCAAAAGTTGTAATATTATGTAGAGAATCGCAATAAAAAAAAACTCTATTTCAAAATTTTTGATGATGCGTTATTTTGCATTTTAGGTAACGAAATGGTACATTAATTAAGTTTCTAGACAATTTTATCTAGTTCAAATTTTAAAAGAAAGTCCAATAATTGAATTAAATTGGTTATTCGAAACCTTAACATTTTCATAAAATAAAACCTAAACTAAAAGGGCAAGTGCTACAAATTAGTAAAAATTCCATAAATCATTTTATAAACTATAAGTATACATGTACACAAATAACTTAACAGGTTCTTGCTGCTATTTTAAATATTGGCAACATTCGATTTCGTTCTTCTGGTAAATATGCAGAAGTGGAAAATACCGAAATGGTTACTCGCATAGCGGAATTATTGCGAGTAGACGAGAAAAAATATATGTGGTCATTAACAAATTTTATTATGGTTAAAGGCGGCATAGCAGAGAGACGTCAATACAGTACTGAAGAAGCACGTGATGCCAGGGATGCTGTGGCATCGACAATATATTGTCGGCTCGTCGATTGGATAATTAATAAGATAAATATGAATTTATCATTTCCTCGTGCTGTCTTGTAAGTACAACAGTAAATAATATATATTCCATTTGAATTGCTATTCCAGTTTAATACGTACGTATATCACCGTCGATACCAAATTAAAGATAATATTTAACGGATATTCCAAGATGAAAAAAATTTTACCGAACAAAGTATCAGTAAACTTATATTATTTGCTTATTTTCAAAACAGAAACTTGCTTTTGAAATAATCTTATAAGATATGTATTTGTACAAGACAGATATAGTTCATCATTATTCTTAGCTACTGCAAGGATATTCTGAATTTTTTTAACTGTTTCGGAATCAGTAATACAAGTATAACAAATGATGGTGGAAGAAACTAAATTCGCTGGTAATGTTGCATTTTAAATGTTTTTGCCATGGGAAGCATACGAGAATACGAGTACTAACGTGGTGCAATCTGCAATTATTTTCTCACCCAATTACATTATTTATAATATAATGCGTGTAAATAATTTTGTTATACATGTGGGCCGATATACATATATATGTATAAGTATACGGTATAAAGTCAACTAGAATAACGAAAACGTACCTTATATGAGCGGATATGGTATGTATCGATCCCATTTTATTGATTTATAGCATGAGACCGCATTATTATCAGAAAAACATACCTACTTAATTTCTTTAAAATATCTTACATTTTTGATTTAAAGTGCGCTCTGGGCGCATACTTATTCGGTTGCAGGGGCTGGAAATATCTTAGTCCGATTTCATAAATTTTAGGTTATAGCTGCCAAAGCTTTCAGAAACGGTTTCACTCCAATCTCTTCATTGGCTTGAAAGAATCTGATGGACTTTACAGTTGTATAATTAGAGAGGTAGGTGTGGTTGCAGGCCGATTTCACCTATTTTTAAAACGAAATTTGGGGATGCTACGTTATATTAGGCGTGTTATATTTGACGGTCATAAGCTAATAACTAAATCGTTGACAAATAAAACACACTTAGCTTATTTCATATTTTCGAATTGTGTTGGAAATGCGTGCAAGAACAGTCAGCTGATATTGATTTTTTTTTCAAAATGTCTGACATGAAGGGAAGATTAGTTTGAATTTTTAAATTTGTAAATAAATCATTAATGTACCTTTCAAATAAATCGATTTTGTTTATTTGAGGTCAAGAATACAAAAAACTGAAAACAAAAGTTTTAATTGTCTTATTTTTAACCCAAATCCCATCTACAAGAATCTGTATGTTTGGTTTATTTACATTTTCATTTGTCAAAGTAAAGTTTTTCAGTATTGCCACGACCTTTTTTTAGCAAAAACCCAAATATTGTGGACGAAAAAAAATAATCACCTGACAATGCCTCTAGTTTAACATACAAGCTAAGATAACTTTTGATAATACTTATAGTTGTATTGGCTGAGTCTTCCATACAAAATAAGCTAATAGCTTAACGTGCTGGTCAAATAAAACACGCCTATTATACACCAAATGTGGTTAAGTAGTTGTCAGGCTATGGGACTTCATTTAGAAGTGGGCGTGCCACCGCCATTAGCCAATTTGTATACCGATTCACATAAAACCCCATTAAAGTTTCTCTGTTAATGTTTTTCGTTAAACATTTATCGCTCATTATGGTTGTGTGGTTTTCATGTGGTAGTTATGGAGAATGGTCTGATATTGCTCATTTGTAAACCAACCTCCTCCTCATTTGCAGTGTCCAACAGACATCCAGCAATCAATTTGTCTCGTCTTCCTCATCATTTGGAGCCTATCTCAATTAGCTTTAGATGTTACAAACAACCGTTTGTTGAACAAAACTATTATACTCTGTGCAACAAGTTGTAATTTTCAGATACATTTCTTTATATATGAATTATTATTTTTATTTAACTAGTGGTGACACTAACGCCGTCGTTGTGCATGATATGTTTGGATTTGAATGTTTTCATAGAAATGGTTTAGAACAGCTGATGATAAATACTTTGAATGAGCAAATGCAGTATCACTATAATCAACGAATTTTTGTAAACGAAATGCTCGAAATGGTAAGTACATATACCCTACATTATAACTCAATAAAATTCGCTAGAACTTTGGTAAATCTTAAGTTTACTAGGATTGAAATTATCCTTACTAAGCATTTAGATAATATTACCTATGTATGATATCATTGGCCCCACAAATTGGTCTCGGCTGAGATCGACGTTCAATCGGTCGAATATTTTTTTATTGATAGTTTTGCCATGTTTAAGTTGACATTGAGTTGATGTGAAAAAACACAACCAAAGTATCGAAGTTCATTATATTAGGAATATGAGGTTTACACCAAGAAATTAATCGCAAAAATATTAATATAATTTTATAACTTTTAAGAAAACTTATCCATTTAGCTTCATTAAAACATCCCACATTTTAACCAACCTAAACGGTTTGAAGCCAGATGGAAAGTCGGAAATCACTATATAGGATAATTTCACAAATATATAAATATAAACATATAAGTGAACTAAAGTCAGCCGGACGTTTTAAAATCCTGAATATCAGTTATATTGGGGTTAAGGCACTAAAATAACTCCCACATTGGCCGATATATGTGGTAACGGGGTTTTTTTTTCGAGGTATAGAACTTTAAGTTTTCATTACTGTTCAAGATGGCGACCGATTTAACAGCTGTCAAGTGATTGATTCTCAGTTTGGATTGGCTATTCATCATGAATAGACTCATGCCTGAACAACGCTTGCAAATAGTGCAATTTTATTTCGAAAACAATGGTTCTGTGCGGAATACGTATCGCGCCCTACGTACATTTTATGATGAAGCGCATTTCTGGTTCAATGGCTACGTTAAACAAACCAAACTGCCGCATTTGGAGTGAAGCTAATCCTCAAGTGTATGTCGAAACACAGAATCCAGAAAAACTGACTGTTTGGTGCGCTTTATGGCCTGGTGAAATCATTGGTGCGCACTTCTTCAAAAACGATGACGGCCAGAACGTTACAGTCAATGGTAATCGGTATAGAGCCATGATTACTAACTTTTTCGTTCCTGAATAGAACAACCATGATGTCCAGGAGCTGTGGTTCCAACAAGACGGCGCAACATGTCACAAGGCTCGTAACACAATCGATTTATTGAAAGACACGTTTGGTGACCGCCTAATTTCACGTTTGGACATGTGAATTGGCCTCTAAGGTTTTGTGATTTAACACCGCTAGACTACTTTCTGTGGGGTTATGTAAAGTCATTGGTCCATGCGCATAAGCCACAAACGCTTAAGCATTTGGAAAACGGTCATATGCCAGAAATTATATTTAAAATGTAATGCCACAAGATTGGCTCTTGTATAAATAAAATTCATGTCAATGGAATAATCCATCATTGTTTTATTGCAATTTAAAGTTCTATAGCTTTAAAATATATAGCTCTAATATACCCGTTATAAAGTCAACTGGAAGTTCGAAAATCCTTATATTAGGTATATGGTGGAATTATTGACCCAATTCAACCTATTTTTAACACAGGGGTATTTTATTATTATTATATTTTCAATAACATATCTTCCAGATTGTACGATAGTTTCGGCAAAAAGTCAGCCATACGCACTGGGGTCCACATATTCGGTATGTGGGGACTTAAACACTTATGGTCCGATTTTGGCAATTTTTAGACTCGATATGGCATACTTCAAAGGCACTATATGTGCAAAGTTTTTCCGAATATATTCATTGGTGCTTGATTTGTATACTGGAAAGTGTAAGAATCATATAGAATATAAAATTGTAGTATCGTCAGGATAATGTAATTTACCGAATTTGGTTGAAATTTGAACTCTGGCTCCTATAACACCCTCAGGTTTCATCCTGGGTGTAAATTCTAATGTCTCTGATTCATTTAGCTTTAGTGGTTTAGGAGTTAAAAAGTTGGTTATCATCGATCTATACCGCTCTCCATTGACAGTAACGGTGTCACCAGCTTCATTTCGGAACAAGTACGGACCGATGATTCCACCAGACCAAAAACCACACCGAAATGTCAATTAAGGTGAATGTAATGTTTGTTCATGAATAATTTGTGGATTTTCTTCGCACCAGAATCGACACTTTTGTTTATTTACCGCACCACTCAGATGAAAATGAGCCTCATCAGAGAAGATGATTCTCTTAAAAAAATCGTTATCGTTTTTAAGTTGTTCCAAGACAAAATCAGCAAATTCACGACGTTTATGGTGGTTCAAGGCTTCAGTATTTGGGTGATTTATATTTATTATACGGATGCAAGCCCAAATCCTTTCTCCAAATCCGCCAGGTTGTGATTTGAGACAATCCCAATCCTTGAGACTTAAGTTGCAATTGGAGAATGATTATTTTAATAATTAAATTGAATAATTTGTAAACGTTGTTCTTGCGTATATCTTTGCATGTTGAAAAAGTAAACTTGCTGAAGACAATAAAAAAAATTACTGATCATGACATATTGAAAATGGTCGAAACGACACTTAGAAATCATATCATCCCTATTGGATAACCTTATTGTACGAATTAATAACTAAAAAGGTATACGATGCAAAAAAGAATACATAAATTTGTAGAAAATAGTTTGGATCGAAATATTACTTAATTGGATATATCAGCTTCGCTATCCTAAAAGTCCTATCATCTTATATTATACTGCTTTATTTTCCCCCAATTAGTGAAAATGCAAGCAATGGCAAATTTCGACCGTATTTCTTTATCTTACAACAAAAAATTATCATCCCGTTTTATTTAAAACAACTCTTTAAAAACTATACTGTCTTACGTTTAATTTAATTTTTTTTATTTAGGAAGCAGATGATATACCCACGGACAATTTGAATTTCTATGACAACAAGACGGCTCTTGATAATTTGTTGACAAAACCAGATGGGCTCTTTTACATAATAGATGATGCTTCCCGAACCAGTCAAGACCAAGATCTTATTATGGGTGAGTTTAGACACATGTACATATGCGTATTTGTCTTTTATTAAACTAAACATATGTTGCAGACCGTGTTGTAGAAAAGCATAGTCAATTCGTTAAGAAGCACACAGCTACCGAAATATCAGTCGCGCACTACACCGGGCGAATAATATATGATACACGGGCCTTCACAGATATCAACCGTGACTTTGTGCCTCCAGAAATGATCGAATCTTTTCGATCTTCGATGGATGAAAATATAATGATGATGTTTACGAATCAACTAACAAAAGCAGGCAACTTGACAATGCCATTTGAAAGTGTACAACATAAACCAGAAGATTCTCAAAGAAAATCTTATGTATGTATTACTGTAGCAGTACACAAGTAGGCTGTAGTTTATGTCTGTATTTTATTTTACTAAATACCTATAACAAAATATTTTTCGCAGCCACTAAATACTTTATCAGCCGGCTGTATTTCCCAAGTTAATAACCTGCGAACTTTGGCCGCAAATTTTCGCTTCACTTGTTTAGCTCTCCTCAAAACTTTGACACTTAATAATAATTTGGGCGTACACTTTGTTCGGTGCATAAGAGCGGACTTGGAATATAAGCCGCGAGCGTTTCATAGTGATATGGTTCAACAACAAATGAAGGCTCTTGGGGTATTGGATACAGTGATCGGCAGACAACGAGGCTACTCTTGTCGGATCACATTTCAAGAGTTTCTTAGACGGTTTGTACATGTTAAACAATGGTGAAATTAGAATATTAATTAGAAATATGTTAATAAATACACTATAGTTAACACGGTCAATAACAAGGTTTACGGAAACATAAAAGATAAAATAAATAAATATAAACTCACGATTAGATATATATGTATATAATACCTTTTGGCAATTAACAATACCCTAGAAATACAAATCACAAACTCCAAATCGGTGTAGCTTATTTCTCACTCAATTTTCGTCCGCAGTTATCAATTTTTAGCATTCGATTTTGATGAAACTGTGGATATTACCAAAGAAAACTGTCGTCTATTATTGATTCGTTTAAAAATGGAAGGCTGGGCTATTGGAAAAACTAAAGTATTCTTACGATATTATAATGACGAATTTTTGGCAAGGTATAAAACTTTAGTTGACACTTTATACACGTAATTGCTTCATATCATGATTTTTATCTTTATAGATTGTACGAAGTTCAAGTGAAAAAAGTGATTAAAGTTCAGTCAATGATGAGAGCGTTGCTAGCACGAAAGCGAATGAAAGGGGGCAAGGATCCCAAAAAAGGTAATAATAAATAAATAAGGGAGGACTAATTTAGGGTTCAGTCGAACATTTTATACCATTCGTAAAAACGAATAACGTAGAAACGTTTCCAACAATTTTGTTTGCACGAAATTGTAATCGATTACAATCAACCTGAAGGACGGAAATTATTATTATGTTTGCCGCAGTTTGTATTACGATTCACCTGCAACCTAGTGTATGTGGAAAATTTTTATACTTCTGGCGTTTTTGTATAAAAAGTTATGGCAATTTTAGTAGTTGAAATATAATATAATAGTTGAAAACAACCTTCATATAGGGGATATTATCCAGTTTGACACATTTTAACTCCAGTACCAGTTCTCCTATTTTGTCGCTATATTAAGATAGGATGCTTTGAGTCCATATAAAAGCCAATATTTTTCTTTTTGAATTTGTTAACACATAGGCTCAAAAAAATATTTTATGCAATAATTTTACGATTCTAGTACCTTTATAATTGGCTATAAATTAATTGAAAATTCAAAAAGTGAAAACGGATAGCGACGTAAAGTAGAGTAGTTAATGCAAAGTTTTAACAATTAAAGTACAATTTGCAGCAATATCATCACATTTTAAAACTACACTCTCACGTATTTTAATGAAAATTTTTATTATCGCCTTGCAAATAGGCTCCTGAGTCAATACAAGCATGTCAACGCTTAATCCAATTTCAATAATGACTTTTAATGGCTTAAATGTACTCATAGAGTAAATTTTTCAGTTTCGAAAACAGAAAAAAGTCATAGAGAGCCACATCTGGCGAACACGGCGAATGAGCGTGACTCTCGTTTCGTTTATTGCTAAAATGTCAGTAATAATTATGCTAGAATGTGACGGTTCATGTTATCGTGGTGAAAAACCCATAGTATTTCAACAACCCAATCCGATCGCTTACAACGAATTGATTCACATAGGTGCCTGTGGAATGAATTCATTTAAACCACACATCAATCATATTAAAAAACAAGTAAGGAAGGGCTAAGTTCGGATGTAACCGAACATTTTATACTCTCGCAAAGTCAAATGGTATACTCGTTTGAGATTTCTTTGTGGATTGACTGATATTTTCGGTAGAAGGTCAACTATAGGCACTGGGGTCCACATATTTAGTACTTAGGGGTTGAACAGTTTTGGTTCGATTTAGACAATTTTTGGCCGCAAGGTGGCATACTTTAATTGCATTATTCACGCAAAGTTTTACGCCGATATAATCATTGTTGCTTGATTTGCATAGTGGAAAGTGAAAGAATCAAGTGGTATTTAAAATGGTGTCATATGGAAAATAGGCGTGGTTGTAATCCGATTTCGCCCATTTTCGCACTATGACATAGAAACATGAAAAGAACGTTACGCACCGAATTTGGTTGAAATCGGTTAAGCAGATCTCAAGATATGGGTTTTCACCTAAAAGTGGGCTGTGCCACGCCCACTGTCTAATTTTGAACGCGGTTCCTATAAAGTCATCTTATACCATCTCAGAGATAAAATTTAATGTCTCTGGCGTGTTTAGTGCTTGATTTATCGCGCTTTTAGTAGTTTTTAACAGTACCGTTATATGGGGAGTGGGCGGAGTTGCCACCCGATTTCAACTATTTTCACACCGTCAATAGAAGTGCTAAAAACATTTGCTTCCAGGAGATATGCACATTAAACCTATTAGAGGCGGGACCACGCCCACTTTAAAAAAAAAAATTTTAACTGCAGATGCCCCTCCCTAATGTGATCCTGTGTACCAAATAACAGTCTTGTATCTTATTGCGGAGCTTAGTTATGGCAAGTTATTTGTTTTTGATTAATGGCGTTTTGTGGGCGTGGCAGTGGTCCGATTACGCCCATCTGCAATACCAACCGTCTCACGGTACCATGAAACATGTCTACCAAGTTTCATAAAGATATCTCAATTTTTACTCAAGTTAGAGCTTGCACGGACGGACGGACGGACAGACGGACGGACGGACAGACAGTCACCCGGATTTCAACTCGTCTCTTCATCCTGATCATTTATATATATATAACCCTATATCTAACTCGATTAATTTTAGGTGATACAAACAACCGTTAGGTGAACAAAACTATTATACTCTGTAGCAACAGGTTGCGAGAGTATAAAAAAGTAGCATCTTCATCATTTTTGACCGACTTTGACGTGGTTTTTCCAGTTTCAGCCCATTTTTAGAGCGTCATTCCCTCGATTGTTGGACAGTTTCGACATTTTCATAAAGCACATCTCGTCCAGTAATGATGCATTTGATGAATATAAAGTCCTCAGCTACGATGTCAATCGTCTCTTTTACGATTTCTACTCGACGTCATGTTTGCAAGAGATTGAGGTATTTTGATACGAGTCTAGCATTGACACCCTTCATACCAAAATTATTAACCAAAATCTGTTGAGTAGATCCAAAAGTGGTGTTGATATCCTCTGTTATATCTCTGTTACCAATACGACGATTTTCACGCTCTGGCATTAGGCAAATTTTCGATGATTTCAAGACTTTCACTGAATGCTCTGTGCCACTCAAATTTGTGTTCGTGATAAAGTAGAGTCCACAAAACACTTTTGTAAAATTTTAACGTTTTAACCAATAGAAACATTTAATTTTAAGCAAACTCGTTGTTCCAATTTTTTTGATAAAAATAGTCAGACAAGCTTTTTGCGTCGTAAACAAACAGCTACTAACCATACGAATGTACTCGTTGACATATGGGGATCAAACTTCACACGAACATAAAAAAGGTTGTACATTGTAGGAATTTTTTTTTTCGATTCGGCTTACGGTAGCAGTATATATAGACCAGTCACCGGGTCAAATTTGAATAGATGGTATCCTCGTACAATAAACACTCTGCGTTGTTATTACACACCGCGACATTGATCCTCAACTCAACCTGCAACTACCGAATTGATCTAATTGTCAAACCTGTTAAGTAATATATAAATTACATTCATTATGTTATTGCACCCTATAAAAATGTACTCTATTTTACCTGAACTAGAGTATTATTATTTAAATTGCTTACTTGACTTTGTCTGTTTGTGAAGTTGTCTTCTTATTCGTTACAAAAAAAATCGGCAATTGAAATCCTCTTTCTTCGTACTAAAAATATTTCTAGCTCTTCCTTAGTTATTTCTTTGGATTTAATCCAGTTTATTTCTAATATTTTTCAGCAAAAGGAATCACTCGTAATGATGAGGCAGCCACTAAAATACAAAAAGGTAATAGGGAATACGCCGAAAAAGATTTTGATGTTGAATACTTTGATGCCAGTGAAACGCCATCTGAAGCTGAGGATCTCTTTGAGTCTGCGCGCAAAGAGGAAGCACTTGCTGCGACACGTTTAGCTGAAGTGGAGCAAGCCACTCAAACGGAGGACAATTAGAAACACAATAAAAAATTAAAATACAATGTGTCTAGAAATGATCACAAGATGCTTGTTAAAATACCAACATTCTAGCAATTTGTCACTGTTCTTCAGTTTACAAACCTTCAAGCTGCTCTCGATATTGCATTATGTTCATATACAAGCTACATACACAGATAATAGATTAACCCGTATGCATAAAAATAAAGAAAAAAAAGTACCTTCATTTGTTTGTATGTATGTATAAAAATATAAAATAATCAAACTACACATATCAGCGGCAAGCAAAATTTTACACATTGCAAGAAATCAGGTCTGAGGTATATTCTGTACATGTTCAGCTAAGCAATTTTTTCAGAGATAAATTTATTTACTATTTCACTGCGTTGTGGTCTTTCAAAATAGATGTTCTAATGAACGAGCATAATGTATACAAACCAAAATTAAGAAATTAGAAGAGCCATAGAAGATTCATTTAATTAAGACTTCATTTTTAACATACACCTTCGAATTTATTACAAATAATTCAAAAAGTATATTGAGTTTGTGACTATTTATATATATATTAACTATACTTACAGCTTTTCGTGGATATCATGACAGACAACGTTTTCAGCCCTTGGTCAATGAAAAAACGGGCCACTTGAATGAAGAAACGGCGGTATTTATACGAGTGTATGCTAAAAAGTGGCGAGAAAAATCTTTATTTCAAGTCTTGTTGCACTATCGTGCAGCAAGATTTCAGGATTTCGTTAACTTAGCACAACAGGTAATTCAAGATTTTTATACTCTTGCAACATGTTACTGCATGGTATAATAGTTTTGTTCACCTAACGGCTGTTTATATCACCTAAAAATAATCGATATAAATATGGAGTTATGTATACATAAATGATCAGAAGACAAACACAAGCTAAAATGAGTGACTGTCTGTCTGTCTATCCGTCCGTCGGTGCAAGCGATAACTTGAGTAAAAATAAAGATATCTTAATGATAATTGGTACACGTGTTCCTTGGCAAGAAAGTGAGAACGAGTTCGAAAACAGGCGTAATCGGATCACTACCACGCCCACAAAACGCCATTCATCGAAAACCTCCAAAATGCCATAACTAAATACTTAATTATTTATTGATTGCCGTAGGAAGGCACCTATGGTTTAAAAATTAAAAAAGGGGCATGGCCCCGCCCTCTAATAGATTTAATGTACATAACTTCTAAACCAATAAAGCTACAATAACCCAATTCGCTAATTTTATAATATATAATTATAACCCCGTCCACTCCCCGGTTTTAAAAAACTACTAAAAGTGCGATAAGTAAATAACTAAATACAAGAAGTTGGCTTTAGCCAATGACAAATTAAGACAATGGGCGTAACACCGCCTACATTTAGGACAACACCTATATCCTGGGACCTACTTCACTTATTTTCTACCGAATTCGGTAGAATTCACTTATTTTCTACCGAATTATTATAAATATTATAATATATATAATATTATAAATATTATAATAATATCCTGACCTCCCTACATTACAGTGTGAAAATTTGCTAAATCGAACAAAAACCACACCTACTTCCCATATAACATAATTTTAAATTCCATCTGAATCTTTCACTTTCCAGTATACAAATCAAGAATCAATCAAGGTAACCGGGATAAAGCTTTGCACATATAGTGACTTTCAGGTGTGTCACCTTATGATTTAAATAGTCAAAATCGGGCTCCAACTGTTCAAGCCCCCGGCTACCGAATATGTGGAGTACAGTTGTTATTGCAAACTTTTTTTTGAAAATTTTGGTCAGATATATTATAGAAATTCTGAGAGAATCATTTTATTATACAATACTTGTAATAGTATGTCTGTACGTCAAGAATGGATTGAAACGGGTCAATAATTCCCTTAGCCCCATAATAGGAAGATTTTTGAACTTCCGGCTGACGTTATACCCCATATATCCGCCAATGTGTGAGTTATCTTATTGAAATTGAGTGAGCGTGTTTTCCCAACAACAGTGTATCTTTGTATCGAAATTGGATAAAATCGGGTGAAAACTTGCTCTAACCCCCATATAACTGATATTGAGGATTTTGAAACATCCGGCAGACTTTACTCCTTATATATTGGTGATGGTAAGTGAGGTACCTTAATGAAACTCAGAGATCATCTTTTTCTCTTAATTATATATAAAATTAGATCAATATTACCACTATCGCCCATATACGTAATATGTAATGCAAGTTGCAAGAGTATGACATGTTCGGTTGCACCCCGGAACTTACTAACTTGTTCTTTTTAATTTTATTTCTAAGTAATTATACTATATATGAATACTCGTATATGTATCGTAAATGGGTATATATATTATAGGTATATATTAATATTCCAATAAAAAGTTAAAACAAACAAGACAAAATTGATAAGCAAAGTAACTTTAGTTCAATTTCATATATTTTCTACTTTGCTTCCTACTTTTATATATACGCTGATTTCTTGTTTTGTTTGGGAAAATATTTTAAACTAAATTTTTAAACAAGAAATTATTTATTTTCAGGTACACATATATAATCAAAGATTTTTCGCTGGAATAAATAAATGTACACGTAACGTACCATTTGATCGGATAAACACGCGCGAAGTGAACTCTTCTCAACTAGGGCCATTGCCTATCCCGACAAAAAAGTTACCGTTCCGATTAGATCAAATTCCTTTCTATGATACCCAATATATGGTTAATGCAGCTAATTCAATATCTAGACAAAGTTTCTCAAATACTTTAATCACTTATGACGACGAAGATCCTTGGGATAGTCCGCTACAGCGAAACCCTTCAATGACTTCTTGTTTACTTACATACAACGCGTATAAAAAAGAACAAGCATGTCAGACGAATTGGGATCGGATTGGGGAGAGTGACGTAATCTACAATCAAAACTACTACCGAGACCCACAGCTTGTAAAAAGGTGAAATATTTTAATTACTGAGAATTCGGATGCATGATTATATTATATACATTTATGTTTCATTACTGCGAAAAGTGCTTCCTCTTACGAAAAAAAAAATCCATAATGTGAAAAAAAACTTTTTTCGTTTCGTATTTGATAAATTTGTGTAATTTATAATTCATTCGTATTCAGTTATCACTCAAAGTTGTTGGAATTTTTGGAAAACTTTTTTTTAAACATAAAAACAAACAAAACGGCTGATTTGGCATTATGAGTTCAAACACTTTCGACAAATTATTGTTTTTGGGCTATCGACACTATTTATATTGAATTTATATTGATATAGTTGAAAAATTAATTATATATAAGGTTATGTTACTAGAGAGAGTGATTTTTCTTACAAAAATATTTTTTGTCGAATAAACTTTTTATATATTTTTTTTTCGTCAAAGACTGTAGAATTCCGTCCGAATCGACTGCTTATTTTATGTGCATATGCGCTTAACGTTGTGTTTACCTAACGGTTGGTTGTATCATCTAAAAGTAAAGAGCGGAATAGGTCCATTGCCACTCCCATAAAACGTTTTTAATAGAAAACACTAAAGTGCCATAACTAACCCGCAAATTAATATGCAAAATTTTAATTTAGTACAAAGAAAGTGGTTTGAAAATCTTAAAAAAGTGGCCGTGGCGCCGTTCCCTAATAGGTTTAGGCTATATCACCCAAATTTGCACAGGATAAATATTTTCGACACTTCTAAGAACAGTCTAAAAACAGGTGAAATCGGATTATAACCCCGTCTACTTCCCATATAACGGTTTTGTTAAAATATGCTAAAAGTGCGATAAATCAATAGATGAAAGAGAAGTGTAATTGCGAACATTCCTAGTAGACACTGTGAAAATCGGATTACAAGCACACCTTCTTCCTTTAAACAAACTTTTAAAGTCCATCTGAAACTTTTCACACTTTAATATAAAGTTTTACCAACACCTGAAAGTGCTTTCCAGGCATTGATCCTTTCAAAAAGTGTGAAATGTTCGGTTATACTCGTTCCTTACTTGTTAAGATAATGTTTTGCTAATACCTGAAGGTATTTCCACGGCTTTGATCCTTGCAAGTTGCGAGAGTATGAAATATTCGGTTACACTCGAACCTAGCGGTAACCCAACAACTACCCTTCTACCGCCCAACCGACACGAGGGGCGCAATCCGCATACGTGCGGAACTAACCGCAAGAGAGTTTTTTAACCGTAGAGATCTAAAACTGTTTAGCTACAGAAACAAAAATTTGAACAGCTAAGATTTATAATTACGATATAATAAATGTTTACGTTTTTATTTATTAAGAGAAAGTAATATAGTCTTTCTAATTTTGAAAAGTGAGTCAGATAAATCAAATGTGCAGGAATGAGAATTAAAGTCATGACATATACGGCGGAATGGTTCGTTTAGTTTGAAATTTGATCTACATTATTTTAAAAGTAAGCCTCGAAAAGCGAATCGGGATATAAATTTAATTTCAGGCAGGAGAAAAGAACTGCAGACTGTTCCATTCAAGATTTTCACTAAGAATATTATGCTTTGCTAAAGTCTGTGTACAAGTACCTATATAACGTCCGTATGCTTATGTTCCCTAAAACCCAATGATACATGTCCAGATAAAAAATTCTGCAATCATATTGGGTGTAATGTGATTGTCACATGACATGATAGATTTGTATTTCATCGCGGACGTAAATTTGGAAATCGTTCGTTTGGAATTAAAGAAATCAGAAAACGATACAATATTCTTTTTTACCTTATTTAAACAAATAAATATAATAAAAATGTTTATTTAGGTCTAAGTACTGTCGAGGCAATATAGAATACACAAGATACGACACGTGAACCTGATTACTTGAAGGTATTGTAAAAATATTTAAATTATCATCATTATCACGAACTCAAGTACCGCACTGTCCATCTGCCTGTAAATGATCTACTTCAATAGGTGACATGTTATTCACGTCATTATTGCTGTAGCGATATTGAACAGAAGAAGCTTGCGCCTGGTTATTACAATGATTCCCACTATTTCTCGTATGTGTATGTTGGTTTGAAAAATAATAATTATTGCAAGAGTTAGAAAACCTCCGAAAATTTGTATGTCTACTCGTATTTTGGTTATTAAAAGACGGGGAGTTAGATTGCTTATATAAACTTGATTTTGTGTTGGAAAATTACAAGAAAAAATTGAATTAGGATATTGCAAATATTGATTACTACTACATTTTTTTTTTATTTCTTTCATTGCGAACTAAACCATTTTCTTTTAATATCTGAAAGCCATCTCTATTATTTGTAACTTTGGAATTTATAATGACTAAAACTGGGTTAATGTCAATATTGTTTAAAAAGGCAAGTAAAATAAACTTATCAATACGTTCTGGTTCGTACTCAAATTCAAATTTTTCGTTGATTTTACAACAAATATTACAAAGCTGTATATAATAACTTACAATATCGTTGCTTTTTATTAACGCTCGTTTTGCAATCTCCCACGTTGGTGATGCTCCCAGCGTTCGTAAAATATATAGAGCATGACTGTATTGTATTTTATTTAAAATCACTCGCTGATGAATATATGATTGGAGAGAAGTTTGCTCTCCCACTAAAGCTTGTATTGCCTCCACTTCTCTAATAAATGATCAAAATGCATATGAGTTATCGCCTTTAAATATTTGAGGTGATTGAGCATCTTTAATGATGTCACTCAAAGACAGTTGCATTGCCATGGTAAAATGTTATTTAGCTCAACTCAAATCTTTTATTGTTTTTGTTGCAATGTGTACTTCAGCAAACGACTAAAGAAATTATTACTTTTTTATACAATATATGTACAAAAATATAAAATAATAATTTTATATATGTACAAACGTTTAAATATTTTACATCGAACTTTTCACTTATGTATATGTCCAACACAAGAAGGAATTGAGGGACAGATTAAAATAAGCAACGGTAAAAAGAATTCAAACGAGAGTACTCATTTCCAGAGGTTATTTGAAAGTTACAGTAAAGTAAAGAAGTTGATGATCATAAATGAGAGAAAAAAGTTATGTACAAAAGAAAAGTAACGTTACAATGTATATAGGGTGAGTTATTATAACATGTAACTACAAAAAATATATGTGGTGAGTTATTATAATATGTAGCTCGCGCGAAACACATTCTTTACAGAGTGTCAAATTTCACAACAAAGTTGAACGATTTGTAAGTCTTTCCAAGATGAAATGCCAAACAATACTGAACAAAAATAACATGACAGCTTGACACGACTCACGCTGTCAAAAAATGATATAGTAGTAAAAGTACCTCTATTAGGATCACCCGTTCTAACTTCATATCTACATATCTCGATTAGTTCTAGGTGATACAAACAACCATTAGGTGAACAAAACTATTATACTCTGTAGCAACAAAATGATCAGGATGACAAGACGAGTTCAAAGCCGAGTGACTGCCACTCCGTCCGTCCGTTTGTCTGCGCAATAGGTAATTTCGGAAAAAATTCACCCAACAGTTATTTGTATCACCTAAGAATAACTAAGTTAGATATATGGTAATATTATATATATTATTATATAATATATAAGCTTCTTGTTACAATTTTATCATTCTAACGGCTATCATATTTCTGTGAAGCATCTTAAAACCCCAAATCCATTAGGGATTGGATTACAGTACTACTGCGTTTGATCAGTATGATGACACGAGTTGAAATCCAAATGACTGTTTGTTTGTCCGTCCGTCCATGCGCCGGTGCAAGCGATAACTTGAGTAAAAGTTAAGATATCTTAATGGAACTTGGTACACGTGTTCCTTCGTAAAAAAGTGAGGACGAGTTCGTAGAAGGGAGTAATCGGGTCACTGCCACGCCCACAAAACGCCATTTATCGAAAATCTACAAAAAACCATAACTAAGCACTAAATTTAGATGTAAAATTGTAATTTGGTTCTGAAGAGCGCAGTAGCTAGGGGCAGCTGTGTGCTAAAAACTTAAAAATACTGGGCGTGGCCACGTCTTCTAATAGGGTTAATGTACTTACATATGTCCTAAACCACTAAATTTACAATAACCAAATTCGCGTATAACAATTCTGTCCTACCGACAGTGTGAAAATGGATTAAATCAGATTATAGCCCCGCCCTCTCCCCATATAACGGTTTTTTTTAAAAACAACTAAAAGCGCGATAAATCAATAACTACATGCGCCGGGGACATTAAATTTTACACCCAGCGTGATACATTGGGGCTCTATAGGAGCCGGGGTTCAAAATTTGCCGAGCCTGGCGCCGCCCACATTTAAGTGAAATCACATATCTCTGGATTTCAACCAAATTCGGCAAATAATATTATCTTGACGATACTATCTTACATTGTGAAAATGGGTGAAATCGGACTACAACCACGCCTACTTCCCTTATAACATAATTTTAAATTCGATATGATTCTTTCACTTTCCAGTTTACAAATCGACCAAATTTCGACCAATAAATTTATCAAAATAAAACTTTGCAAACAGGGTGCCAAGAGAACAGAGAGCGTAGTTTTCTAATAACAGTGTATTTTTGTGTCTAAAATAGATAAAATCGGACGAAAACTTGCCTTGACTTTACTCCATATACTATACCATGTGTTTATATTTATATACCATATTTATAAAATTGCTTGAAAATAAAAAAAAGAATTACTGCAATCAGTCATTACATGTCTCCGTTTTTCATATCAACTCAATATATTATATTTAGCCTTTTCGGTTAAGTTTACGAGTATATCAAATATATCTCATTTGAGAATGATTTAAGTATAATTTCCGCTGACGGGAAGTAAAAATGAAGGTCTTATATGGACAAGTTTTTTATTTGCAAGATATACTCGCCATATTTGGCATAGATTTTTCTCTGAGGCACGTTATAATCTTTGAAAATATATTATTCAGATCGGGACACTACAGCATATGGCTGCCATACATACCTACATACCTCTGACCGATCAAAGTTAGGATAATAGCATTTTATGCTAGGCAACTGTGAAGGGTATTATAGCTTCGGTACAGCCGAAGTTAAGGTTTTTTCTAGTTTTTTATGGTGTTAGTTTGGAGGATATAAATGAAGTGATGGTGGTGCATATTTTATTTACACATTAAGTCTTCTTCGTTCTGCCTTCTGATTGCACCGCTTCCTGGTGGACAGGTGGCCCAGCTGTGTCGCGGGAGGAGCACTGGAATGAAGTGTAGGAAGGAAGAAGTTTCTTAGTGAAATATCATAATTTTTTAAAACCTGGGACCACCTGTTTACGTTAAACCGGGAGTGCCACTGATGCCCACAATTATCTAGGAAAGAGACGAATTTCTTTATAAATGAATAAAAGAAGTTTAGTGTGAGGTATGTGTTTTTATTGTTCTATTTTTCTAGTTTGAGTATTATATTATTACGATTTTTGAATTTTGTATTATCATGACCACAAATCGTATTTTAGTTTAGTGTGAGGTATGTGTTTTTAATGTTCTATTTTTCTAGTTTGAGTATTATATTATTACGATTTTTGAATTTTGTATTATCATGACCACAAATCATATTTTCGGTTAGTAAAATATATTATTTAGGAGCGTTCAATCTATCGTAGAGAAGCGGTACCGAAATGCTCTTGTGTCTAGATCGGCGTGATTTTAAGCTAGGGAAAGCCAAATGCTTGTCTAGTAGGAACAAGTATTTGGGAGAACTAACTGTTTATCCATTTTTTTTGCATGTCATGTTTTTTTAACCAGATTTGTACGATTTCGGCATCTGGTAAAATATGTCATTTGGATATATGAGGACGCCCAGGGCTCAAGTCATAATAAACTTAGGTTTCTTAGAGGGTTAGATTTCATCTTTGCAACTAATAAAAATCTTGAGATTGCACTATTGCATTGAGTACCTATGTACTACGAAACATGGATTTTCAAAGAGATATACATATGAAGGTATTTGTATTAAATATGTGCGAACTATGACCAAGTTGTTTTCCAAAATTTGGCCTCGTCCCAGTTGACCCCACTTAGCCATAATACCAAAATATAATATATGAAGAATCAGAAAGTAACGGCGACTTCTATTCCTTAACGGTACTTGAAATAAAAGAAATCGGCCGCTTAAAGAATAAAAATGTAAATGTGATATTATTATTTCTGTGTGTTCATTTGATATTTAATTTTTAGTTGAAATGATTGTCGAAAAATTTCAAAATAGAGATATCAACTTTTTTAAAGAATGATTGTAAGCAGTATCAAAAATACTGTACGAATATTAAATATTTTATTTCTGGCCAGGAATCAAGTACAAATGAACATGAATGCGTATAACAACTATAATCAGTACAACAATAATTATAACAATGTACCTTCAAATATGTGGAGCAATCGAACAGGTTCGCGTCGAAACTCCTTAAAGTCATACTTTGCCCCACCACCACCGCCTATGCCGCCCGCAAATATGGTGTACCGCAATGACCCCGATCAGGCACGTACAATGCAGCAGAATCCAAACCAATTGAGTCATACAAATCAAAGCTCTCAACAACGCTCTTCGTTTGTACCTTCAGACCCAATACGAGAATTGAAGGACTTTGTGCGTCGTTCTAATGATGAGGATGTAGGTTGGACAAATGGTATTTTATGATTGAATTATATAAGTTTACATTTTACTTTATTTACATGCCACTGTTTGTTAGAGTTCTGAAGACCCTCCATTTAATTTCAAGGCAATGCTTCGTAAAACGAATTATTCTCGTCCTGATTCCACTGTTTATGAATTTAATAATCAGATGCCAAATAATAACAACGAAAATATAAGATTTCAACCATCAAAACTTCGCTCTACAGCTCACCGTCCCGATGATTATAATAATCACAAGTTGAATTCAAGTGATCAGCATAACTTTGTAAACCGAGCACCCTCTTTAAAGCAGACGGTTGTAGGAAAAAGTTTCGATAACACAGATGCTAAGTCGTTTGAGGAAGCTGGTTCATATGTCGAGGAGGAGATTGCACCAGGTGTTACATTATCTGGATATGCCGTTGATATTTAATACCCTGTTTTAGAGATTTTTTTTAGTAAATAAGGTAATTTACGCAATATTGTGGTAGCGGAGAAAGTCTTCGCCGTACCAATAAAAATAATACATAAACAAAAAAAAATCATGTGCTCTGTAATTTGTATACTTCGCCAAGAAAAACCTGAAGTAATAGGAAATATTGTCTTATTTTTTTATGACTGTCAAATCAACACTGTTGTTGTTTCAAATGCAAAATTGAAATACGACAAATACAACACTGCGAGGTATGTTTTTCGAATATGCTATTCTATCACCTGTATCTGTTTACTTTTTTTATTGTTGACGTTTAAGTATCTAAAAATAATAAATTAAATATATTCCATCAATTTCTTTTATAATATGGAAGTAAGTTATGCTACTCAGGTAAATTCAGTTGAATAAAAGTGAATTATAAAAACATTTTGTAAACGAAAACGCCGCCGTTTCAACCCGGTGCATAAGTGGAGTGCAGCAGAAGAAAAAGCGCTTGTGGAGTATTTGTATTAAATGAAGAAATGTATGCAAATACTTATTTGATTCAATTCCTAAAAAAGTCAATGCATGATTTTCACATATAAAGCTATAATTTTATTTGTGTCACTTTCTCGTGGCATTTTTGTATTCTTAATTTTTCACTATTAAAAATTACACAATATGACATACAACAATTAAGGGGTGCTCACAAGTGTCGCATTTTTTAAGACTATCGAAATACGATATAAGACATAAGACAAAGCTTGTGAATTGCCGAACGATTTCTTGTCAAAAATAAGAATTTACGCAATTTAAACGGGAGAGTTGAAGTTAATTAAATAATCATATTTTGTAAGAATCATTGTCACAATTTAACAAGGTAACTAAACTGTTGACCTTACATGCACACATAATTATTGCTATAATGCTGCAGCTATTCTAGTCTAAGCTCCTACTGAACGTTGGACTTTTTATCACCATTTTATCACCATATTTCAAACTACGTTACCCATTCTTACGCTGCCTGTCGACTTTCTTTCTGCACCAGTACGTCGTTCCCCAATATTTTATTTAAAGTCTTGAAAAATATTCGATGTCTCTTGTACAAAAGTTTCATAATGTAGAAATCGTCGATTTGCAAAGTAGGATGATACGCTTTGCGTATTTTCTTCCAGCAGCCACGGTGATCCATACTTCATTATGATTCTTTAACGATCATATACTATACATTCGTCGAATTGTTTAATTAGTTCGCTCTCGCCATACGATTTTACAAATGGTTGTTGCTACATTATTACTACCTACATCGCTTTTACTAAAAAAGCTTTGAATCTGTCCATTATGAGTACTGTGGTCAGCTCCAACCAGTAAGATCAATTAGTTATTTTCTAGTTCTTTAGGGAAAATTAAGTTATTAACTATTTTTATACCACCAATAAGTAAGTCGAAAATATGCTATCTCTCCTATCAATTCTTCTTGTCAGATATGCTTCTAATGTTTGATTTCTATCAAAATTCGATTTCCTCACCTTTTTCAGCAAAAATCAAAATAAATTGTGGAAAAATATCTTTTAACGATCGTAAGTTAATATATTATATAACATTCTCTATCTATTGGACACTGAGTTCATCCTCGAATGTGCCCAATATTTTGTGCATTCCAATTACGGAACTTGAAATTAACAATAAAATTTTAAAAATGATCGGTAAGGAAATTATCGTCAACGTGAAACCAATATTACAGCTTTCCTGAGGCTATGCCATATTGAGCCTTACATCTCTCTAACTGCCTATGAATTATCGCTAAGGGCAGAAAAGTTCTTGAAGATACGCTGAAGGTAACTTGGTCCATTTGTATTGAGAAAAACAAAGGCAACATCTCTGAGCTAACAGGAGCGTTGCTCAAATTTGTATTAGAATTCGTAAAGTGAAATCGAAAGAAAAATAAAAGTTTTACGTTCATTGAAATTACTAGATTTCTTCATCATGAAATTACACGATTCCTATGCAATACTGCGTATTTTGCATTTTGCCAGAATTAGATAAGCTTCGCAGTAAAATAAGAAAATAGCATAAATGCTTGAAACTTTTACTAAGCAGCGTTCGTTTGAAGCGTATTCCTTGCTAAGAGTAGACTGATATTTGAGAAACATCCTTTCCTTCAGACTTTACTGTGCCATTTTGCAATTCCAAGCAAGGTGATTCTACTTTGCAAATATGGTAGCAGTTACATTGTAATTTTTTGGATTGCACATATACGTTAATGTGTGTTTAAAGGAAAATATTATATATACCATTAAATGTTTCATGGAATATCCGCATGACATTTTGAGTTTTTCTAACGGCCAAGTTAAATAAAAATTAATTTGGGTTTCTGAAGGCACAAATATCAATCAATAAAAGCTCTATTTTTGAATAATAAAATAAAACTTCAAGGGTGATCATTAACATAAAATGTGACTAGATATCTAAGACAAATTCTAGATAATGCTGGACAGAATCATAGCAGGTGTTCCTGCGTCTCTCTCATGCCTACTTCCCAGCACTTTCTGCATGTATCGTCGTTACTTATGCCCGTCCGGCTCGCATGTGGTGTCATTACAGAAAGACCATGTAAGTAAGCAGCATGTGTGTTCTCCTTCAAGGCTATTGCAAATGATCTTGCCGATCCTGCACGCCTTTAAGGTATTCCATCTCGCCCTGATCCGTCTGTCAGTCTTTTTGGAAATTTCATTGTAAATCGTTTTTAGTGACTTCCGAATTTTCTGTAGTGGTTCTATAGTCAGACGGATGGCACTTTCGGCAATCTCAGTTATTTCGTTTTCCGGAATCCCTTTGTGGATTTGAACCCAGTGTATATACAGCCGCTTCTCGACAGCCGCTACATCTACTGCCTCCCTGGCTCTAAGGACATTCTCTGACGTAATGCGATGTAAGGTTACTCCCTTAATTAACGCCTGGCTATCGACGTATGTATATATATATATTTTCTTTACGTTGTTTCCTGCGTTGTCATAGGTATATTGCAGTATTCCGGAAGCTTAAAGGGTCGCCTGAAATCCAACTGTGAGGGTGAGGGTATGTGGTCTATTTTACCCAATAACTCCCTGTTTACCTTTCAAATCAAATTACACCAAGGTACTTGGTATGCACCTTAAATGCTAATTCAACCCCGTTGAGGCTGTCGAGATACCAGGATCGGGTACCTATTTATAAAGAGTCCATCAGTGTTTGACACTTATACCGAGTTCCGACAATTTAAGTGATTAAATTATTTTTTCTGTTCACTAATCTAAACTGTCCTCATTGCCGTTAGAGATTTATAAAACAGCTATTTTTGACATTAAAAAAATTCACATCGTTTAATATTTATTAAAATAAAACATTGTAATGTCATACTTTGTTAAAAAAATCATCTTGTTTTAAATATTTTACATTTCATGGAAATAATGGAAGAATTTTATGGAATAAATTCAAGGAGGTCGATTTGAATAAAGGTATGTACTTACTTACATAAATATTGGTATTATATATATGTATTATAATGTGGTTCGTGTAATTAAAATACGTATTTAAGGGACACCTCAAGTAACTTGAGTAAAAATTGAGATATCGTAATGAAACTTTGTACTCGTATTCCTTGGCAAAAACGTGAGGACGAATTCGCAGTTCGGCGTCATCGGACTACTGCCACGCCCACAAAACGCTGTTAGGCAAAAACCTGTAAAGTGCCATAACTAAAGACCTTATTAATATACAAAACTATAATTTGGCACAGGAGATCACATAAGCAAGGGGCACCTGTGGTCTACAAATTTTGAAAAATGGGCGTTGTCCCGCCCTCTAGGCGGTTTAATGCACACATCTCCCAAACCAATAAAGCTAAAATACACACATGGGACAAATCTTATAACAACCTTTATCGACAATGTGAAAATTGATGAAATCGTATTACAATCCTGCCCTCTCTCCATATAACAGTTTTGTTAAAAACTACTTAAAGCGCTCTAAATCAATAACCAAATGTGTGACACCGCCCACATTTAAGTGAAATCACATATCTCCGGACCTACTCGACTAATGAAAATTTGTGAAATCGGATAACAACTACGTCTACTTTCCATATAACAAAATTTTAAATAACATCTGTTTCCTTCACTTTTCACTAATGACCAAAAGACATATAGATCCCAGTTCCTATTACAAAAAAATTATTTCCTGATAACACTATGCCCTAAGTCAAATATTGGTACAATGGGATCAATACTTCCCTTAACCCTCTTCACGTTATTATAAAGGTTTGCCAACGCCTGAAAGTAAGTCCCCGGTTTTCATCTTTGCAAGTTGCAAAAGTATAAAATGTTGGGTTACACCCGAACTCAGCCCTTCCTTACTGGTTTTTTTTTTATCGTGAAATAAATCATTGTACGGAGAATATCTTTTAGTTTAACAAGAATTTTTTATTTTTAGATTTTATCTACGGAGAAGGGCGGAAGACAGTAAAAAAATATTTTACTTTTTCTTTCAAATATTCACTGTGTATTCACGAAACATACTATATAAATATAGACTGACATTTTCAAAACAATCATTACAGTATTTTATTTTTTTTTTAATTCCCAAAACTCGACGTTTCTTATGCTGTCACACTAGGTGTGTCCCCTTATTCAGACTCTTGGCCAAATGTTTTGGGAAGTCGATTGCCAGATGAATTCAGAAGCATTGCTTTTCATTTATTTGCTTGTTTACATGATTTTCTCTTTATAGTGTTGAAATCAGCTGTGATAAATTTCCGTTCTGACAAACAGATGGCGCTAAATCAGAGTCGCACAGGAAGTTTAGTGTAGATTAGATTCAAATCACCTCGATGACGAGAATAAAAAGTGTCATTTTTGTATTGCGAAATCTCGCTAAATCCAATAGGTTAGTGAGATAATCTGCCCAACAGCCTAAATCTTGTGATGACGTATTGGTCAGAACATGGTATTGGTTTTAGTTGCTTGTGATATATGTATGTACAATAAACTTATTAAAGGGAAGGACCACGGCCAAAAATTTTAAAATCGTTCTGTATTCGTCGGTCTGTAATACCAACCTTCTTATACTGCTGAAGAACAACA